TGAGGAAGAATGAATGAAATACACTACATAAGTTTAATGATCACCATCACGAGTTGATTGATACGATGAGTCAGTATCTCATCTCACTAGGGACATGTTTTCACAGTCAGATCTTTAGATATCAGTTAAACTGTCTTATCTGTAATTTTGAGTGATAATAATACCATATCTCTCTATTTAATTGAATCATTAGTTTATGAAAATAAGATAACGTGCAAGGTTCACACAGACAGGCAACCTTTGGATGCTCAAGTTTTACATCTCTCTGAAATTTAGTAGGATTCCACAACATATCAATCGAACCTCTCATGATGCATCCATAACATGTGATATGAAAAACATACTATAACCTCCATCATATTTTATATTAACAGAATGTAAACGATGAAAAATCCAAGTGGGTGAATGGACAGAAAAACCTTTAGGAGATAGTGTAAACCAAATATATCAATCTAGATAGTTGTGAACACAAACTCAAGCACACAACAGCCCATTATGAGCATACCATAGCGATTTGTTGTATGTTAAGACTATCACACTGATCGACATGCAATTCAATTTAGGGATTAAAATAATGCTAACACTTCAAATAAACAATAGTTTATTTACATTTACATTTAATCAATTAAACATTAACAGATAAATATATAGTCATTGTATGACCAAACAACATGATTCATATAATACATGTATATAATATCACTACAACTGATCATTTAGAATGTTGTTACAACCACATATTCTGTAAAAATAAATAAGTAAATAAAATGCCTGGAATGAAGATTTACATATAAGCATGAGATTGCTTTAAAGTAAAAAAAAATACAATCTGTATCTTCTTTTCAATAATAAAACACAAAGAAGAGCATTTACAGATTTTCTTTTTACATAATAATTGTCCATCTGCATCACGATTACAACACACCATTGAATAGAATGAAAATTGACAATTAACAATTAAAACATATTCAGATTAAAGATTAATTTTACTGATTGGATGTTGTTTGCCATGTGATATTTTCTATTATCGTGTTAACTCTATCCTTTTACTATTAAGAATAGAATAACTCATTTTCCTTCTTATCCTGTATTTACTTCAATAAGAAGCCTATTCTAAAACTATCTATCCATTTCTGAGCGCCTAATTCTTAGGACGAATATAATTTTGTAAAACAAGCAAAAGGATCATATATTATTTATATAACCTAAAAATCTTTGCTGGACTGTTGGAACTATCCAAAGTCTTTTAAATTTGAATAAGCAAAGATAACATTTTTCCTACCAAATACATACCAAAAAGAATTATTTTGACACAATATTTGCGAGTGAGAAATATTGGGCACATGCAAATTACAAAAAAAATTTAATACTAAAGTTTTTTTTTATATAAACATACACCTTGGTAAATTATTTAGCTGGCACTCAGCTATGCTCTATATTTGTCAATCCAAAAACTATTTGAAAATAAACCATACTTAAAGTATTTCTCATAAAAACCTGCAATTTTTTTTTATGACCTTATAAATACATTTACCATGACATGATGGATCCTAAACTATACTACTTGTTTTTAATTTTGTATTACCTCAACTTAAAATACACATTAATGAATTAACAGTTCGAATTTTAGTGAAAAATTAGGCAAAATAAGTCTCTAATCGTTACCTATCTCTTTCAGAAAATCCATTCATTAGTAAGAATGTAAGACAGTGATAAATAAACTGACATCTCTATGAAGGGTTTTAAAATATAATATATAATGCCTGGTTGTAAATATGTAAAACAGAAAAAATGCCTTTCCATAAAAAAAAACAAGAATATATTGCACCTAATAATGTAAGGTTATAGCATGTTAACAAGTTTAGGGCTGTACCAAAACTTATACGGTGGGGGGTGGGAGACAATCAAATCAATTAATTATATATTTTCCACAGAATTTTGTAAAAAATTTTGGTAAAATGAAAACTTTTATTTTATGGGTGGTCAGTATCTTAAAAAATACCTCACATGCCCCCTCATGTATTCAATTCTGGAACAGCTCTAAGAATATGTTAGGATAACTTTTTCATTTTTCCAAAAATATAGACCATATTTGAATGTTTAAATTTTATGGCTCAAAATAACTGCTTAGTGGTTACTCTATTTAAGGGGCATAAGCTGCCAAATTAGTTACCATCAAATTGAATCTAAGTCTTCAATACAATTCATAACATGCTAAAATATTTACCAGAACTACTAAATTTCCATAAGAAACAATAAACAATGCATGAAATCTTAATAAAGTCTCAGCATTTCAAACAAGAATATATTGCACCTAATAATGTAAGGTTATAGCATGTTAACAAGTTTAGGGCTGTACCAAAACTTATACGATGGGGGGTGGGAGACAATCAAATTAATTAATTATATATTTTCCACAGAATTTTGTTAAAATTTTTGGTAAAATGAAAACTTTTATTTTATGGGTGGTCAGTGTCTTAAAAAATACCTCACATGCCCCCTCATGTATTCAATTCTGGAACAGCTCTAAGAATATGTAAGGATAACTTTTTCATTTTTCCAAAAATATAGACCATATTTGAATGTTTAATTTTATGGCTCAAAATAAGTGCGTAGTGGTTACTCTATTTAAGGGGCATAAGCTGCCAAATTAGTTACCACCAAATTGAATCAAAGTCTTCAATACAATTCATAGCATGCTAAAATATTTACCAGAACTACTAAAGTTCCATAAGAAACAATAAACAATGCATGAAATCTTAATAAAGTCTCAGCATTTCATGTGTTCTTTAAACTAGATGCCATCTAATTTACCATCCAGATGACCATCTCCAACTAAGGGTAAAATTAAATGTTGAATGCATACAGACACAAATGAGGTTGAATTATTGTCTTGCAATATAATAATATATCAACAAACTCAATTGCTAACCATCAAATTTAACATTGATATTTTTTCAAACAATTAAAATCAATTGCAAGTGAACCTTCGAATAAGCAACATGTACATGGAATGCTTTAAAAGAAAAAGTAAAATAGTACGACATGAATAAATATACTTTGTTGTAAATATTTTTCAATTACTCTATATATTATCACCGGAACAAGGAAGTAAAATAACTGAACGAGAGATTCTTGTTATGAACAGGGTATACATCAGCCTGATAAAATTACACTGAAAAAACAACATTTAAGATTACACCTGTTGGGATTTTTATGAAATTTTTGCTTGCAACTAGAACAAGTGGAAATACATCTGAATAAAACAATATTTACTGAGATATAAATTGGTGACTACCAATAGGAAATTTCAGAGGCAATACCTTAAATCATAATTCAAATGCATTCAACACTTTTATGCTTCTATTTGCAAGATATTCTATTACTTTTTAGGAAGTAATAAATTGCTTCGCTGAGCACAGCTGGAAACGACCGCAGATGTCCAAACGTGGAAAGTTGGGCCAAAATGGACACAATATTCACGCTTGATACATGTCTGAATTTGGATTGTAACTAAATTTTTGACACATAATAGGTTTCTGACACAGAATAACTGTAGTCAAAGAACTTCAAATTGGTTATATGATTTGAATTTATATTCTATTTATTGCTTTTGTGCAATACACTATGCTGTTGCAAATTGACCCCCCTCCCTACCAAAAAAAATTTATTTTACCCAGTTTTTTTGCTTTTGTGCAATACACTATGCTGTTGAATATTAACCCCCCAAAAAAAATATTTGAAGAAATTTTCTATTAATTTCTGAAATCTGAAACAAGAAATATTGTCCCCCCCTCCAATTTTTTTCACCTCCCCCCTTTCCCTTATTCCCCAAAAAAAATCTTTCCCTCAAGATATAGTCAGTATCTCAATTCAAATTTCTAATGCAGTTTGCAACCAAAATTACCCATTTAAATACATCATAAAAGTTTTAAAATATAAAATGACATACATAGTCATGGCTAAAATTAATATTAATTAATAGTAACTGCTAAAAATAAATTGACAGCTAATCACCTCAAGACAAATTAGACAATCATCATTTCTTAATACATAATTTACAAACAGTGTAAGGGAGGTAATAAAACAGTGTTCTTTAATTTGAATTGGATTACCTCCCTTACACTGCTTTTAAATTGTCTCAATTGTCCTTTATCCAGAAAAACCCGTGTTTTTCCCCTTTTTTTGCACCTAATTACTAAATGGTTTGAGTCATAACCCTTCCAAAGTCAATTCTTACCATACCTTTTTTGTATGGAAGTTTGTGGTATAATTTCAGAGAGATTCATACACTTTAACACAAGTTATTGTCTGGAACTACAAAAATGCTTATTTGGGCCCCTTTTTTGGCCCCTAATTCCTAAACAGTTGGGACCATAACCCCCAACCTTCCTTTAGTGGTTATAAACCTTGTGTTAAAATTTTATTGATTTCTATTCACTTATACTAAAGTTATTATCCGGAAACCATATGTCTTTGGACGATGCTGACGCCGGACGACGACAACAACTTGATACCAATATACGACCAAAAATTTTTTAATTTTTGCGGTCGTATAAAAATAGTTAGAAACATATTTTTAAAATTTTTTTTAGATGCACTTATATTTCCTCTAGTTGCATGCAAAATTTCAAAAAAATCCAATAGATTATCCTTTTATCTGCAGTAGTAGTGTTTGTAAAGATCAGGTTATGTCTTAACTGATAAAAACATGGTAGGCTTAAATTGTCTATCTAACCATTTAACTGTTAAGTGGAATAAGTGCTCAGTCAAACAAAATTACAAGTTTTCTGATTCTGGTAACTCAACAAATTTGTTTATGCTAGTTTAGTAGATAGCATATATTTTGTTTGTTATCTCCCCTTGTGGAATAGTAAATAATGCATTCTATGCAATTCATATCTAAGTTATAAATATCAAGAATCAAAACAAATATCATTTTTGTATATTGCTATACAATCTGAATGCATCTAATATATATTTGCACTGATTCACCCCCCCCCCCCCCCCCAAATATTTTTACCATTGGCTGATTCATACAAAGACTAACACTTTAAAATATAATATCACATTTACATATAATACCCCCACCCTACCCTAATGTACAAGATAAAATATTCATACATTCATTGATATCATTGCAGAAGGCAATATACATAAAAATAATAAGCATTTAACTAGAATTCTTGATAAGCAATGATCAATGAGTTAATATGTGTAACAACAACACTATGAAATGAACATGTTTATAAAGATGTAATATAATGAATTATAGCACCAAGTTGTGCATTTTTTTTACAAATATGTCTGTACAATGTTCATCTAACAGGTGAAATACAAATAACTTTTTATTATTAAAAATGCCAATGATAATTTGATATATGGATTAATACATGTACAATTACTGTAAATTCAGAAATTATTGCAATGTTTTTATTAATGCAAAGAATCAAAATATCAGTAGTGATTTTCCTTCATAAATTTTTTTGCAATTACATTAATTAGTTTTCACGTTTGTGCCGGTGGTCAAGGAGTGGCAATAATAAATACATGCATTAATTTCTGAATTTACAGTAATCAAATTGTGTCTTTACTACTAAAAATAAGGGAGATAATTCACTAAAAATGATTTTAAAACTACATCCACCTAATTGTTTTAACCTGATTTTTTTTATAGTCACCGCTTTGCAACATAACATGTGCTATTTTAACAGCGAATAAATGATTCACAACATAATATCAAAACAGCTTGTAAAAGTTTAACCTCATTAAAATATAAATCTTCTTTCAGACTGACCTCACGAAAAATGATGGGCTAATTGAAATATATTAATAAGGCAAAGCATTAAAAATAATATTGCACTAAAAATACCCTAAAACAAAACAAATATTGCAACATAATTTAAAACATTGAAGTGATGAAAACAAAACTTAATTTACGTGTAAAATAAGTCAAGTTCCAGTAATGTTAGCCTTTGACAGCTGATAAATAGGCTTTTCTGTCGACAATCACTGTCCTGGCATACTGTGTAAAGCATGTGTAGGTGATGTTGGGTTACTATGGTAAGGGCAAATGTCATCTACATGGTTACCAGCACATTCGACAATAGGTACATGCCCACTGTCCCACATTCCTGGTCCACATAGAGAACAAAGTCCATGTAGGGTACAAGGTATCTTTGGTATTTGACGGAAGTCATGTAGCAATCCTCTTGCCTGAAATTAATAATTTGAATAAACGGATAATTCATAGACAATACAAATTCAGAAATGCATATCATAGTGAATAGGAAATGGTTTAATGCCAAAAAATTGCAAAGAAAATTGCTTTTGAATTGTTAAAAGCACAAAACAATATGATATGCACTTATAAAAAATTGGTGAAAAAATGTAGGGAACAATTTGCTGTATTGTGAACTGTTGATCACTAATGATACCTCTCAAACAGGAATTTGATAAGCAATGGATGTGAAAACACATCACAGAGTACAGCATGATCACATGAAGCTTCATACCAACTTTCAGGAAGCTCTTATTCATAATTCTTGAGAAAAAATGCAAGGAAAATTTCATACATTGTCATTGTGTGTAAGAATATATAGGTATTCAGTAAATATGTGTTTTTTTGCTGTCCATGACTGATTTTGTGTCATGGATGGATACCCCATATCCTTTGTTTTTCTATTTTACATGAAGCTTCATATCAAATTTTAAGAAGCTCTAGAAAAATATGACGAAAATGTCATTGGATGGATGATCACCCTACAATAATACATTGAATATCGATTAATTATCCATTACTGATTTGTACATCCTAGTTGATAATGTTCAGGTAAAACTTTGCACTTAATCAAATAAACAATATGTTCATTATTATTTAACATTATTTTTGAAACCAAATTCCATAACAGCAGTAATAGAATCTTTATAAATGAACATAAATTTCATATTGTTCATGGAAAAAACAACAAAAATCTGCAGTTTGCATCATATAAATCATGAATATTAGTCCTGTAAAAATATGAAAATTCTGAACATCAAATTGGTTTTTACCTTTCTAAGCACAAGATCCCCATTCATATGCATCGCTAGACTACTGAAATGTAGAAGTATCTCATCTGATGGAAGTCCTTGGTCAATGACATCATCACCATAGATACTCACTATGGCAACACAGATAAACAAATGGAAGTAATCGGTCTGATAATGTGACCAACATGCCTCCCAAATTCTCAAGGCATCAACTTCAGGGAATTCTCTTTTGAAACATAATAAAATCCACCTGTTTAATAAACAATTGCAAATTATATAAATGTATACTTTATTTAATGAAATCCTCTTGTACAGAATTTTTGTTTTTAAAGTTACCCTTTGGCTGCGCTAAGGACATATATGTTGTGTTGGCAAATGCGCTAGGGACATACAAATTTTATCTTCTTGAGAACTTATTATAACATATATTGTAAGATTTTTCCAATTCAAACAAATAACAGTATATAATAGATATAAGAAGATGTGGTATGAGTGCCAATGAGACAACACTCCATCCAAGTCACAATTTGTAAAAGTAAACCATTATAGGCCTTCAACACAGAGCCTTGGCTCACACTTAACAGCAGGCTATAAAGGGCCCCAAAAATGACTAGTGTAAAACCATTCAAACAGGAAAACCAACGGTCTAATCTATATAAAAAACAAGAAACGAGAAACACTTATGAACCACATCAACAAACGACAACCACTGAACATCAGGTTCCTGACTACATCATAATGGCAGATATGACGTCAGAAAATGCAGTTTTCTGAAATTCTTTGCACAACATCAAAAATTAGTATTGCGTACAACTCATAATCTAGTTAGATGATGCAAAAATACTTTAATGGCAGCGTACCAATGTCTACGTCATTGGTCTTAGGCACATCCTCTTATTATAATAACGCTCATAAAATTTGTTATGAATCCAACCATAAATTTTTCTATCCAAACAAATGTAAGTTTTTCACTGATTTTTTATGTGCACTGTTTGAAGTACAAGTTCACCATTTCAGAATCTCATGCATTGTAATAAATATGCCATACCTGTGACAAAACAAAAGTTCCATGGCATCTTCACCAAGTCGGTTTAAGTGGTAGTAAAAATCAGACTGCATCAACCGTAACAATTCTTTCAGGTAGTTCTGAAATTAAAAAGAATGCTCCTTTTTAAAGCAACTGAAAAATATCTACATTGTTTGTATATCAATTTTGTTAAAGTTAAGGATGTTCGCTACTCTGTTTAAAAAAACAAGCTTTTTAAAAGACTGTTATAAATTGATAGTATATAAATGAAGGAACTAAAAAAGCAGAAAAAAATTAAGGGTCTGTGAGATTGTTTTCGAGATATAAGCCATTGAAAAATTGGCGGCAAATGATTCTCTCTAGATTTTTCATACATTTAACATTGGCACCTTTTTTCTTTCAAAAATAATGAAAAAATAACAAGAATTTTATAAAATTTTCAAATATGGCTTTTTAAACTATATGTAATAAAATTATGAAAAGAAAAGTAGGGGTTAGCAGGCAAAATTTTTAAAAGGCACTACATGGATAAAACCAGAGGATTCCGAATATCTGGAAAAAATTCAAAATCAAGAGGAGCGAACATCCTTAAAGAACAAAAGTATGATCATGTTCAAAACTGCATCATACATGGTTAAAAAGACAGATTAACTTACCATAAATTCACAAAATTTTACATGCATTTATTAATTGGATTGTTAAACAATAGACACAAATACAAGCTTTAATTATTGCATCACAACAATAATGTTAAGTATCTTAAAGTTTGGAAATTTAATAAAAAAAAAAAAGAATTTCCAATGTTTTACAAAATACACTGTTCTTATCAATTCTAATATTATGAATTACAAATTAAAAATTATCTGTAACATTATATAAATGTTAATGTAACTGTTGCTTAAGTCAATGTCCAATCTAAATACATACCAATTGTTTATCCATGTCATTGTCTTTTGGTGAACTGACAAATAATGTCCTCTGCATCAATCCCACAAAGCACCAGTATGCATCAGCCTCATTCTGGATTTCTGCCAAGACTGGGGCCAAAAGGTCAGACATTCCTTGTGTGTAGCCAAGTGTAGGATTTGCAACTGCATAGTTCAATAAAATACTCCTGAAATGAAGAAATAAACAAATTTTACTCAAAGAATGAAATTATCTCTCTTTGTATGAAAAGCACAGAGATTCTGAAATATTATTGTGTCTTGACTAAGTTTTGCTCTCCACCTATTACAGTTCATTCAAAATTCAGACCCAATTCCAATTGTTTTATCAAACCAAACTGTTTAGCTGGTCAGAAATTTAAACCAGCTGCTGAAGAAAACCACAATCAAGTCATCAATGTGCAAGGTCATTAAATAAAGCATACTTCACAATTCTTTAAGACTAATGGCAATAAAGTAGAATAAAAGTCTTATAAGATTGTAAGTTGCACTTTTTTTCCACTTCATTCCTATTATGAAAATGTGGCTATTAATTTCTATGCATATTGTTAGGGTAAAGAGTCATTCGAAAGGTGAGAGGTAGTAATTTTTGAATTGCTATAAACCTGACAGTTATCCCAATCTCACATTCTGTGACAGACAGACAAAATCAATCTTTTTGAGGCTGTCTTCAACGGTAAATGCTTTTGAAACAAGAGACTACTTACTGTAGAACTTCTATGTTCGGGTTATCTTCCCCTTTAAAATAACTATGACTTCTGTCTGTACGGATTACATCTTTCTCCACAGTTGACTGAATTCTTCTCCAAAATTGTTCTTGTTCTTCATCATTCATAGATTCTCTATAAAGAAATCTTGTTGAAGATATTTTTGTTTAAAATATAATAACTCTAAGTTCAAACAAGTGCATTCTTACCAGTGACTTTATCAAAGGTCATGTTACAGTAAATAGGTCATGTCACAGATTTTTATAAGATTTTGCATATAACTGTGGTACGCTAAACTAGAAAAAAAATATATAATGCTTTAAACTAAATTCTGAAATATTATTGATTAATTCCTTCAAAATAGATGTACATTTGTATAGAAAGCACATAAAATCAATGAAAAATGTTCTTCAAATTGCCTTACTGGGTTAAGAGAAAATTGTAAAGATATCTTTGACATTTTTTTTTGATAGATTTTATGTACATTCTATACAACTGTTGAACTATTATAAGGATTGTAATTCAATAATATTTTAGAAAATTAAACAGTTAAATTGATAGGTTTTTTTCAATTTTCATTTCAGTTAGCGTTCAACATGTAAAAGTCGTATGAAATTTTTTTAACAAAATCTGTGACAAAGCCCATTTACGGTTCCTTGACTTTAACAAAGTTATAAAGGAACATAACTCAAGAACAGTAAAAGTGATGCCAACCAAATTCAAACTTGATCTGAGTTTTGTGGTAATAAGCATTTTGTATAAGTTTCATAACATTTGGTTGAGGCAAACTTAAGTTAGAGAACGGAAACAAAATTCAACAATTTTTCCATTTGTAAAGGGGCATAACTCTAGAACGGTAAAAGTGATGCCACCCAAATTCAAATGTGATTTGTATTTTTATGGTAATAAGCATTGTGTATAAGTTTCATAATATTTGGTTGAGGAAAACTAAAGTTAGAGAACGGAAACCAATTTCGGGACGTACATACAAATTGACAGACATACATACAGACAAATAAGGGTAACACTGAATGCCCCCTCCGCTGCGTCGGGGGCATAAAAATGATACGAACTGGAACTTGGTCTTTTATCTAAATGATGTATAATGTGTGTAAATCCTGCACAGCCACTATTTTATAAATTTCCAATACCATTATCTGGATTCCAAAAAGGAATTTTTCCATTTATTTTAAAAGCATCAATTTGTTAAGGGGCCTCGGTGGCCGAGTGGTCTAAGTAGTTACTACTGTAATCACTAGCCAGTCAACACTGAGGTTGTGAGTTCGAACCCCGCTCGTGCGGGTGCACTCGACTCCAATCTTAATTGACTAGGATTGTCAGTTTTCCTATCGAAGGTCGTGGTTTTCTCCGGGCACTCCTGCTTCCTCCACCAATAATAACTGGCCGCCAAGAAATAGCCCAAAAGCGGTGCTTAAAAGTGGCGTTAAAACACCAAAAATCAAATCAAATCAAATCAATTTGTTAAAATATACATACAAAATTCGAAAGAAATCTTGTTTTATTTCATTACATGATTCAGGATTTGAAGTTGTGACAGTGTTAAAACAACCTTGAAAATCATTACATTTAAATTACAATGCAGTCTTTTGTGCACTCCCAGTGTAATGTTATTAGGTATGGTTAAATTTTGTTACATTATCACAAAGGGAAACAAAGGAAACGCAAGTAAAATTTATGTCATAACTGAATTCTGTTTGATGACAAGCAAACCTTAAATTATTCATCAAGAAAATTAATAACTCTTCATTAAAGTTTAAAATTGGAGAAATTGTAATTATTAACCTAAGCTATTTGTTTAAGTTTTTAGTGATTGGTGGGTTTTGTAATTTGTATCTGTCTAACGGAAATTTTACAACAATAGTAAATACAGAAAGTACCAGTAATTCATGCCTGGTTTTTCCAAAGATGTTCTTTCATTCTACTAAAATAGACAAACTTTGCAAATGAAATATTATAGTTCTTTCCAAAACACAAGTGATGTATATGCTTTATTGTTATATATCATTAATTAAAAACAGGATTATTCATGTTATTTGAAAAATGAATGTGTTTTATAGCATAAATCATTCAGTTTGAAGTACAGTATAATTAATTCTACAAAGAATTATAAAGCCTCAACATGAAAGTATATCTTTTTGATGAGAAGGAAGCAGAAGACAGAATTGCTGGTAAATAACAAAATAATACAATACATTTTTCACCAGTCTATCAAAATCAAAAACAGCAGATGTTACTGTCAGATTAGAAATTGTTTACTCGGCCTGGATTTAATTGTCATCAACATCAAATGCAAATTTCACTTTGAATCAAAGCTTTGTTTCTATATTTTTTTGTGCTTTGTATAAAAAGTGTAGCCTTTTTTAAATGTTTGTTTGAGTTTACTCCTTCAGATATCATAACACGATTAAATAATTTTTGAGATTTGAGATATTCAACTTACATGTCATTAGTGTATGGAAGTAGCTTTGTGAGCAAGCTAACATAGCCCATGTTCCAACCATTTGATTAAAAGACAGATAACTCCAACATAAAAAAAAGTTTTGACAAACCTTCCTTGAAATTTGAATTTGATAATAACCATACAATGAAGATCCTATCAAAACCACACCAAAAAATGATAAATAATTTTTCTCTATTTATTAAAATGCATACTGTGGATTCATTATTAATTGTAGGTACCAATTTTTGTTGATTTCTTAGGTATAGGGAAACCATGAATTAAATTTTTTTTTAGGCATGTATATAAACTTTTGCTAGACTGCGAAATCAAATATCAACGAAAATACAATTTTTCCTCTAACCACGAAAATTGGAACTCTGACTTGAAAATAATCAAATTGAATCACAGTAAATCAGAGGATTTCCAGATATCTAAGAAAATTGATGACAAACCAATACCTTTGCTTTCTAATATTTTGGTATTCTATGTATCTGTCATTTCTAATTTGCTCTCGTTCATCAAATGTTGAGTCGTAAGGATAGTAATGGAGAAGGAAAGGCCAAGCTTCATGTCTCAGACTAGGTTCTAAACCTCCAAAGAATATGTGCTGAAAAAATTACAGAAATATATAAATGATCAAATTTATATAAACATAATGAAGAAAATTGTACCCATTATTCTACAAAATAATCAGTTTTACAGAATAACTAACCGTTGAATGTAATGAAATATTATAATACCGGAAACAATGAAAATGATAAAAGAATATCTAGATTTTGAACATCACTAAAATTTGACAATCAATACATGTGTAGACATTTTGTTGAATATATTCCGGTATGCGCTGTATTCAAAGTTTGCAAAAAATATCCAAAATTTACTACAGAATTTTTTTTTTTATAATTGCTTCCTAATATAAGTTCCTGGTCTTTTTAGAAATTACATGGTCAGTTATATTACTGAAACTATAACATTGCTTTCCACATACCATGCATACTGTGAATGCATTGATGGTCAAAAACAAAAAAATTGCATGTGTCTTTGCCTAAATGCTCTAAAACCTAAGGGTTCACCGAAAATTTCTTTGACCATAACACATGAAATCTTCCATTTACCAAAATCATAAATTATTATTCTTGTGTAGAAATTCCAAAAGGGAACATACATTATGGGATTGTAGTAAATAGACATTTCGGTCACTAGCCTTCTACAGTCGTCAAAGCATCAATTATAAGAAAAAAACATACAGCTATGAATCAGAAACCAAATATATTTTTCTTAGAACAGAATATAAACCTTTTAAGAATACATGCCTTGAAACAGAACCAATGTGTCAATGCAACAATAATTTTAAGACAATGACTGTATAATTTGTCAAGTTATTCCTTCAGGGTACACTTTTATGTGATATTCTCACAAATAACTGTGAATTCCAATAGAATAAATTGGACATTCCTGTTTGCTGTTGTTTAAGTTTGAGATAATAGTTTGTATCACTTGTTGACTCAATCAAAGTGCTAAAATCTCATTTCTCCAGGCTATTTATCTTATTTCTAACAGTCTGTACAACAAAACTTTATACCATCTATCTTTGGAGAATTGAATTTCATAGACTGAGCATAGATTTTCAATCAGCTAAAGCTGTAAATTAAGTCCTTTATATAAAAGCACTGCAATATGAAGTAATTTCATTTATATTTGTTTTCTAATTGTGAAAATACTGCATTCTATATTCTTAAGTAAACTGAAAACATGTAAAATGTATGTGAAAAATGACTGGACTTTATCTACAATATACTACAACAGTTACTTTTGATTGCTGACACCATCTTTATGTGGTTCTTTCTACAGGAACCTTAAGCAAATTAGGTGAAAATGGCAGACCTTTAGTAGTTCCTATTCTAACTTTCCAACCCTCAAGTCAATTTATAGCTTGACAGTTGTCTATTGTTGAAGTCCTTAAGTTGACCTCTAGAAGCCTTAAACTTTTGTGTCTTGGACTGATGTTTCTTTGACACATTACCATAATATCTTTTAAAGAAATTGCAAAAAAGAATGAAAACATCAAAAAGGTAATTACCAACCATCAAAGCTCCCTCATAAGGATATCTATTATATAATTAAGACTGATTGTTTGATGGCTCCTTAATATTAAATAGCAATTGTTATGTTACAAAATACATGCATACCCAAGAGAATATGAGCAAATAAAGGATAACAAATTATAAGTAATTGTTAAGGTATATTCAATGTTTATATATTTTAGATACTTTTTGGGTAAATCTCTTCAAACCATCTTTAAAGAAACAAATGGTTATTCATGCTATTGACAGTCAAATGACCTGTATGAATACAATCTGCTCTGTACTAGACAGACACATTATAGTTGATTTTCAAGATGCTATCTCAAAACGGAACATTGCATGGGAAACTATTCCCTATCCATACACATTGTTTAGATTCAGAGGGATCATTGCTGTTGCTTCTTCTTTTAAATTGATTCAGACTTTATGAAAAACATAATTTAAAATCAAGAGCTTAAGAATGTAGTCATATCAGGTTTAGAACATGTCTAATGTTTGGACTCCTTGGGTTTTTTCTACGATACAGGGAAAAATATTTTGCCCCATATCACCCACTTTTCTTATCACAGAAGACTTCAATAGCTCATAAAAGTCATTACCAAAAATTTAAGCAGATTCTAGATTTCTTTTCTTATGATTCAGACCCAAATAATGCCAATTCTAAATATAAGGTAAAAGTCCAAGTCAGCCTTTTCATTTCTTAAATCAAATATTTCGAAAAGGAGTTCAATAACCTATCAATATTTTTAGCTTATTTTGTTCCTTAACTAATGCTCTTTTGATATATAGTATCAATTTTGAATTCCAGATTTTTTAAATTTCACCTGACTACATCCTTAATGATCCAATACATTCACCTTTTTGAAATTTGTTTACATTTTAAGAAAATTATTCTAACTTCTTGACTGAAACTGCCATGATCAAGTAAAATAAATTGGGAAACAGATGATGCCCCCACTTGCATATAACATTATAAAGGGACATAACTCAAGAACAGTAAAAGTGATGCTACCCAAATGCGTATTTGATCTGAGTTTAGTGGTAATAAGCATTTTGTATAAGTTTCATAACATTTGGTTGAGGCAAACGTAAGTTAGAGAACGGAAACGGAAAATTCAGCAATTTTTCCATTTGTACAGGTCCTAACTAGAGAAAGGTAAAAATGACGCTACCCAAATACAAACTTGAACTGTGTTTTGTTTCATAACATTTGGTTGAGGCAAACAAAAGTTAGAGAGCGGAAACCAATTTTGGGACGTACGGACAGACGTACAGATGGACAAGGGTAAAACTTAATGCACCCTTCGCTACGGCGGGCGCATAAAAAGTTTTACACAGAACTAGTATTATGACATTAGAACCTTAACCATAGTGTATATTGAAGTTGAGTATAAATGTACCTTTCTTAACTGATAATTATCCTCTATTTGTCCATCTACAATCATATGTCTCTTCCACATCTCATCGTCCACCATACTATATACACCTTCCTCAGGGTGGCACTGGTCATCTGTTAGCTGGGGTCGTACTATCAAAAACTGCTTGTATGGGCGCGATTCTTTACTCTGGAAAAATAAATATGCTAAATCAAAACTCGTTTATCATAACAATGACACTGCCAATCAGATCATTAGAATTGCAAGAATTTAAGCCACACAATTAAAAAAATATTAGATAGCACAGGCATTGAGCATGTTGATAGTAGCCTATCAAAGGAAAGTATTTAGAAACATGGTTTCATAATTTGGTTTTAAGTGAGGCAAAACATGTGCTTGCTGCCATCTAATAACAGATTCCCAGCAACCATCCACTCATCTTCCTGGATTAGCAATTGGTGATTAACTAACCCCTTGAGTCAATAATCCTTTTTCCTCAATAAAACAAAAACTTGCAACTTTGCCATTAAGTCTCAAGATAATCCATCTTTCTTTGTATAATCAGATAATCATATATTCTTTATGTGCGTGGCCCAAGTCACGAGCCTGTAGTTCAGTGGTTGTCGTGTGTTGAAGTCTGCCATATTTGTTTTTTGTTAATTATTTTGTTATAAATTATGCCGTTAGTTTTCTTAATTGAATTGTTTCATATTTTTCATGTCAGGGCCTTTCATTATTAAGCTGACTATACAGTATGGGTTTTTCTCATTGTTGAAGGTAGTACGGTTTCCTATAATTGCTTACATCCACTTCATTTGAACTTTGGTGGATATTTGTCTCATTGTCAATCATACCACATCTCCTTATTTTATATATACCTTATTATTATATACCTTATATTTTGTAAAAAAAAAAAATCCTGTTAATCCATATTTCACTTACTGTGGATTCATTAATATTCGTTGGATACCAATTTTCGTGGATTTCGTGGGTACAGGGGAACCACGAATTTAAATGTTTAACGAATTACAAATTTCCTAAAGGAACTATGCAGACTTTGCCCAAACCACGAAATTAAATATCCACGAAAATGCAAGTTTTCTTCAATCCACGAAAATTGGTACCAACGAAAATAAATAAATCCACAGTATAAGACCGTACTTTGACCTATAATGGTTTACTTCTATAAATTTTGACTTGGATGGAGAGTTGTCTCATTGGCACTCATACCACATCTTCTTATATCTATTTGATATATACTGTTACAAAAGACAGGAGGAAGATAGGGATATTCAAACTCATAAGTCAAAGAGAAACTGACAATGCCATGGCAAATAAATGGGAAATGTGTCCATGGGACACAGATGATTCCCCCGCTTGCATATAATATTACAAAACGACATAACCCAAGAACCGTAGAAGTGATGCTACCCAAACTCGAACTTGATCTGTGTTTTGTTGTAATAAGCAGTGTGTATAAGATTCATAACATTTTGTTGAGACAAACTAAAGTTAGAGAAAAGAAACAAAAAATTCAGTGATTTTTCGATTTGTAAAGGGGCATAACTCTAGAACAGTAAAAAGTGATGCCATCAAAATTCAAACTTGATCTGTGTTTTGTGGTAATAAACATTGTGTATAAGTTTCATAACATTTGGTTGAGGCAAATTTAAGTTAGAGAACTGAAACCAATTTTGGGACGTACGGATGGACAAGGGTAAAACTTAATGCCCCCTCCGCAACGATGGGGGCATAAAAATGAAAAATGTTAAAAGACAAACAACAAAACATAACATAGAAAAATAAAGACCAAACAACATGAACTAAATTAACCCCCAATAAAGCAAAGGTGATCTCAGGTTATCTAGGAAATTAAGTTCACGTAGAAGATACACCCGTGAGGGCGTTAGATATTGGGGTAAATGCAAAATAATAGAATTCAATAATTTAAGTGGGGGTCTTTCAGCATCTTGACCTTATGTCAATAGAAAAACATGATAAACGCAGGATATCCAATTACATTTAATGATATCTTGGAGTTGAGTTCCTGTAAAACTGTCATGATCAGACTGACATGTATTGAATCCATTGTTACTGTCCATACATAATGAGATTTTTTAATTACTTTTTCTCATATATTGTCAATATTTTACAGGAAAAAATGTCAAGGCAACTGAACTTAGGAACAAAACAAATTACTGTTAAATTATTTTCTAGGACAAGCGGAAAGTTCAGGTGATTTACTCTTTTAAAAATTAAAGAATTCCATAATTAACTGACAATTGGTCCTAATGAAGCAACAGTTTCATACAATTATCCAAGTATTTTTTTTCCAACAACCATCTTCTATACAACCGAACAATTGACAAATTGAACATGACAAGAAAATTTACTTGTAGTCATGTAATTAACAAAGGAGCTTTGACTGCCGTCTTTACGCTGACAAATTGGAAACAACAACGAAACATTTTCAGAAAAGTCACGCAATTTACATAGATGTTACGACTAAATTGTTATCATTAACCTTTTCCGATAAATTTCTCCGGGAAATCAGTGTCAAAACTGTATCAACAGAAACATCATAAATTTCCCAGGGAAATCAGTGTCAAAACTGTATCAAAAGAATTGTCATTCCAATAATAGTATTATTTTCAGTTCCACTAATGACAAAATCTATACATCTTTTAAGTCTTCACAACAAATATATATATATTGTCCAATCTTAGCATTTTTATTAGACATTAGGAAGGTGTGATAAAAAAATGCTGTTCAAATCCAAGTGGTTTACTAACATTGGAATAATATAATACTTATCCCTTATGACAAGTAAAACTTTGCAATAAAGAACATAAAATTACCAACAGGCAATCAACATAATGACTGAAGCTGACATTCCAAACAGATTTTGCATTGTATTTGGATGACAATGAATGGACATACCAAAGAACAACACATGTAAAGGGATAGCAAAAGCTCACATGGGAGTTTTAAAAATGCTGAAGTATTGCAGCTTGAACATAGTTGACAATGGAAACTTACTTAGCACTACCTCGACATGCAGTGAAAAATTTACATTTAATATTATTATTAATTATCTGTAATTTATTTCACAGACAAATCAAAATATGTCATTGCCAATATCATAACAGTGGTTTACTCTTGATCTGAGCCCTTTTTTTTACAATTTATTTATGTTTTTGACCCACCAAAAAAATAAGAATAATAAATAGTCTGCAAAATCTGTATAAAAACCTTAATTTTGTATATATATCTGTTGAAGAAGTTCATATCATCATGAATGGAAATAAACAGCTTTCATATTCCATTTTTACATATGGTACCATAATATAATACCTATCACCTACATGGTAGCCAGCTTTAAATTTTCGTATCAATCATTATGAATTGAGATATGGTTTTTTTTTTTTTATCATTTTAATTGATAATGCAACACACATGCAAACATTTTGACAAAACAGACCAAGAGGGAACTGCTTTAAAAACCCTTCCAAAACACCTAAGTTCACCCCAGTTTTTTTGGGTTTGGTTCATATTGTTTAAACTTCAGTTTTCTCTTTTTCCTACTGTTTGTCTTTTCACATCTTTTTTCTTTTGGCCATGGTTTTGTCTATCCCTCTCCAACCTGATTTTTTTTTTGCCCACCTTTTTATCTTCTTGTATAATATTTTTGTGTCTGACATACATAGATATAAGTAGTATACATAGATTATATATGTCAATTAGTTCTCACTTACAGAATAAAAACGGTTATATTTGGCTAAAATCTTATATTACAATGTTTTATTTTGTTATATATTACATGGCTTTATATATGTCCAAATGTTATATATACATAAACAATGGATTAACCGGTGAATCTAATGTCTCAGTTTAGCTGATGATATATGGAACCAAACTATAAAATGACAGCTATATATCAATAAACCATAAAACCCTATGATCCTATTCATGATTGTTGTCAGCAGTCACTTATATTCATCATACTTCGATATATAGCTCCCAAGGGAAAGGAAAAGTGTAATCGCATGAATCCAAATCAGTGAAAAATATTTGGAAATCCCGATTATTTTAATAAGGGTTTTTTTCATACATTTTCAATATGAAGACTCATTTGGCGTAAGAGAGTACGGCTTTTTTATTGACAAATTACCAGTATAGTCATATGAAAGGAAAAAAAAATTCAGAGAATTTCTATTTGTAACTTCTTTTCATATTTGGTGGCCTTCGGCTGTTTTCTGCTCTTTGGTCGGGTTGTTGTCTCTTTGACACATTCCCCATTTCCATTCTCAATTTTATTTTGTTTGAAACTGCATGATCTGATTAAATTTTCATCCATTACATGAGTTGAATTTTACACTGGGACAGTTAAGATTGACAAAAATGTCAGTATCTTTTTTGAATGGCATAACTTGAATGGACAGGCAAGAAGGATGCTAAGATACAATCCACTTTATAATTGGGGGTATAAAACATGAAAATATGAGCTGCTGACAACGTAGCTATATAAATACTTCTGGTTCCAAAACTATTCCACTTCCTAACAATAAAATAGCCTTAAAATCAACACGAAAACAACAGAAAATAAATATGGACACTTAACAAACTTGCATGCAGTCTTAATCAATTGCTTACAAATATGTCTAAGATTTTTTTCCCCCTCAAATTAAAGACACAGTCATAATAAGATCTAAAGAGGAAGACAAAAATAGAAGTTAATGATTTCAAATTTAACATTTTTCTGAGTAATTATGACTGCATGTTTTAACAAAACTAAAAATTATAAAAATTCAACAACCATAAAAAAGTTAAAACGTCTAATTATCTCCCTTTACACCTTTATCTTTAGTACAGGGGTTATACAAATACTCACTCTTTTGTGCTGTAAAATTCAAAATAAATATAGAAAGGAAGATGTGGTATGATTGCATTGACACTGAGATAATTTTTCACTAGAAATCAAATGATTTTCAAATTTGTCTGAGACATTGCTAATATAAATCTATGATACATAAGTTTAATAATGATCTGGAAAGAATTGTACACATGAGAGCACTAACAAGACAAGACAGAAGGACCGACAGACAGACACCCAGTCTTTTTATGTCCCCTTCAACACATCACGCAGGGGACAAATAAATACACTTTTGACACTGAGATATGTATCGCAG